TGCTGGTACTGGCCCTGGCTGTCCCCAGCCCAATCCCCGTCCCCATCCCCTCTACCCTTCCTGCTGGTGTCAGCCCTGACTGTCCCTGTGCCCATCGCTGTCCCTTTCCCTGTCCCCACCACTGTCCCTGCTAGCACCAGCCCTTGCCCACCCTGTCCTTGTCCCCGTCCCCATCCCTGTCCCTAACCACCCTCCCTGCTGGTACCAGCCCTGATCATTCCTGTCCCCATCCCTGTCCCTGTCCCCATCCCTGACCCTATGCCCACTCTCATCGCTCTCCCTCCGGGTGCCAGCCTGGCTGTCCCCATCCCTGTCCCCAGCTCAGCTGGTACTGGTCCTGGCTGTCACTATTCCTGTCCCCGTCCCCGTCCCCACTACCCTTCCTGCTGGTGTCAGCCCTGACTGTCTCTGTCCCCATCCCTGTCCCTTTCCCCATCCCCACCACTGTCCTTGCTAGTACCAGCCCTTGCCAACCCTGTCCCCGTCCCCATCTCTGTCCCCATCATCATCCCTGTCCCAATCATCATCCCCATCCCCGTCCCTACCACCCTCCGTGTGGATACCAGCCCTGGCTGTCCCTGTCCCTATCCCTGTCCCCACCTCCATCCCCATGCCCCTTCCTGTCGGTCCCAGCCTGGATGTCCCCATCCCTGTCCCTGTGGCACGTCACTCACCGGGGCTTTGGCACCATGTCCTCGGGCACGGGTGTCCAGATGGATTCGGGTGATTTCTGTTCCCGGAAACGTCCCTCGAAGACGGCGGCCACTTGGGTCATGTCGAAGGCGCAGACGGCCGAGCCGGGGATGCTGGGGGGACGCAGGCACAGGGTGAACACCTCAACCCATCCCCCATGTCCCTCATGTCCCCCACGGGCACTGGGGCGCACAGAGGGGTCCCAGCCCAGCCCCGGGGGTCTCAGCGGGGCACAAGAGGGTCCAACCTGTTGGCAGGCGTGGAGAAGACGGCCAGCACCACGGGGCGCCCGTCCAGCTCCAGGATGTCCGTCACGGCTTGGATAACGTTGAAGTAGAAGTGCGAGTCGCCCGGCACGGAGCAGTTGAGCCGGGCCTTGAGGAAGGAGGTCCACTGCTTCTCCAGCACCCGCTGTGAGCCCCCCATGTCGTTCTTGCACACCCGGGCCACCCGGGACACCACCACCTACGGGACGGTCACCCATCACCATCTGGTACCCAACCCTGATGAGTGTCCTCTTGTCCCTGTCCCCACCCCAGGTGTCTCGGGACACCGCAAGGATGTCTCCCACCTTCTCCAGATAGTTGAACTCCATGGCGATCTCCCGGAAGAAGAAGTAGACGTGGCTCCTCCATTCCACGGCGTGCACGAAGTAGGGCTCTGCGGGGACAGTGGCAGGGTCAGGGATGTCCCAGGATGGTGTCAAAGGGGACGGGGACCGGTGCTGTGTGGCACACGGTGGGCGCCACGCCACGGGAGGCACCTTTGAACCATTTGGAGTCGTGTTTGACGGTGCGGAGGGTCGGGCTGTCCCCCAGGCTGCGGTAGATGACGGCGTCAATGGCCAGGAAATCCGTCACCGTGGCGGTGAAGAGCATCCCCCCTGCGTGGGAGAGGGGCGTCAGCCAGGCACGGGGCTGGGGACGGCAGGCAGAGCACCCGGTGCGGCGCCGGCGGTGCCAGCACTGACCTGTGAAGAGGGCCACGTTGGCGTGCTTGGGATCGTAGGGACACCGGGCCATGCCGCTGATGTTGTCCCCGATGGGCTCCAGCGTGTCCATCTAGAGCGGGGTGAGATGGGGCCGTGAGCGATGCCACCCGGGCAGCGGGGTCCGGGCTGCCTCCGTGGCACAGGCAGGAGCATCCCCTGCCCGCGGAGCCGGTCACCCGGACACAGGGGTGATGACACACGGGGTCCCAGGTGTCTCCATCCCGGTGGCGGGTGGGTGACTCACGCTGTAGTTGGCACAGACGGGGTTGAAGGCGTTGGTGCCGCAGACGAAGAGCAGGCTCTCATTCCGCACCAGCAGCACCTTGACGAAGTTACGGCACTCTGCCTGCGCCGGCGAGAGGGAACCATCACCCCTCGGCACCCTTGTCCGCCCCACCCCACCCCTGGGTGCTCCCACCCAGGCCCCCATCGCTGCGAGGGTCTGGCTTGGGGGGTATTTTCACCCCAAAACGGCATTTATGGGACCTGGAAATTGGATTTCTGGCAGATGCTGGGCTGTGCCTGCTCTGCTCCACGGGCCCGAAATAATTAATTACAAACTCAGTTATCCAAGCGGCTGATAAATCACAGAGACACAACCGCTGGCAGGGAGTGGGGAGGCGGAGGGTGACACCGGGGGGACGCACGGGGTGGCTTTGTCCCTGTGACACGGTGCGCAGAAGGCGCTCGGTCCCCTCCCGGGGGAGGCCTCACGGGCTGCGGACCCCCCCACCCCATACCTCGTGTTTCCCCTTCATCCGGCAGATGCTGATGTCGTGCTGGTTCGAGCGCCACGTCAGCTTCTGGGGGTGGGGAGAAAACCCAGTGTGGGGCCGGGGCGAAGCCGGCAGCGCCCCCCACCTTTTTTGGCTCGGCACTTACCCGGTGGTAGCGCATCTCGCTGGCACCGGTGGGCTCCAGGCTCACGCGGTAGACGTTGTCCCTGGGGAGGGGGACACGGGTGTCACCACCCTGCAGGGCTCCCGGCTGCGATGCTGGGGGCACCCCGGGGATGTGCCCCCCAGCGAGGCATGTTGGGAGGGGGGGGTGTGCGGGATCCACTGCCACCCCCCTGGAGAGATGTGGGGTGCTGGGGTGGGCGATGAGCATCACTGGGGCAGGGACAGCCCCGTCGGAGCCCCCTGAGGTGTCCAACCTGCTGGGGTTCCCCCATGGCAGATTTTGGGGTGTCCCAGGGCAGGTAGTGGGGTCCTTCCCCAGCAAAGAGGGTTGGGGTGGGTGTCGGGTGCCCACCCCTATCGTGGGGAGGCTTTGGGGTGCCACGGTTCGGACCTGTCCCCGATGAAGAGGGTCCGGTTGACCTTGAGGATGCGCTGGATGTTGAGGCGCTGGGTCCCCCCACCCTCAGGGCCGGCCGGGCGGCTCGTCCCGTGGCCCGTAGCGCTTCCCAGCTGGGGGGGCCACACACACACACGGGGGGGGTCACACGTTGCCGGGGCACCCCCACCCACCCTGGTTCCCCCAGCCAGAGCGACCACCCTCATCCAGCCTTGCCCATGGGTGGCCCCTCCTGCCTTCGACCCAAAGCACCCCAAAACCTCTTCCCATGGGTGCCTCCCTCCTGCCTTCACCCCAAAACCCCTTCCCATGGGTGCCTCCCTCCTGCCTTCACCCCAAAACCCCTTCCCATGGGTGCCCCCCTCCTGCCTTCCC